TTTGATTCATTAATTTTTTGTATTGTTCTCTTAGTCTCCATTGCATTGATTTCTGCTCGGATCTTTATAATTTCCTTTCTTGTATGAGCTTTGGGTTTGTTATGCTCTTCTTTTTCTAGGAGCTTGAGGTTCTGGATTAGGTTATTTAACTGAGTTCTCTCTGTTTTCCTAATATGGGCATTCACTGCTATGAGTTTCCCTTGTAGAACTGCTTTCACTGTGTCCCATAGATTCCTTTATGTTGTACTGGCATTACCATTTATTTACAGAAACTGTCTAATTTCTTCTTTAACTTCCTCTGTGACCCATTGGTTGTTCAGAAGGGTGTTATTCAATTTCCATGTGTTCCCATCCATTTAATTCCAAACAGTTTCATCACCCCAAAACCAAACTCTGTGTCCATTAAGCAGTCACTCTTTATCTTTCCACACCGTTCACACCTCGCCTGTAGCAGACACCAGTCTGCTTCATGTTTGTGGACTGACCCATAATGGATATTTTGTATATATGCAAGCATATGGTGATATTTTGTGTCTGGCTTCTTTCACTTAGCATTTTATTTTGAGGCTTATCCCTGTCGTGTTATCTTCATTCCTTTTTGTGGCTAAATAAGATCCCATATAGATACGCTACATTTTGTTTTTCCACTCACCCACTCATGGACATTTGGTTGTGTCTGCCTTTTGGCTATTGTGAATAGTGCTAATATGAACAGAATTCACTATGTAGTCCAGTCTTGTCTCAAACTCCAGGTGATCCTCCTGCCTTGGCCTCTTGAATGCTGAGATTACCAGTGTACACCAGCACACCAGGCCAATAAAACTATTGACTAGCCCATCATTTTCATCTTCTTGAAGGAGTCTCTCCTAAAACCTTCTGACCTGCTCCAGTCTGAACTACTTATCCTGTAGTCCTCTGAGATCTTCACAGTGACCATTCTTGGCACTCTTCATTCCTTCAGGTGGAGCCAGGTTTCTGTGTGATGTCTTCTTCCTTCTAACTGAAGAGCTTCCTTGAACGTTCCCTGTGGCACAGTTCTTGTACACTTCTGCTGGCAACTCACTTTATTGCTCCGCCCCTCCCCGCCATCCAGTACTGGGGATTGAACCCAGGGCTTTCGCATTGACCTATACCCCCAGCTCTTTTCATGTTTTATTTTGACACGGGGTCTTGCTAGGTTGCCCAGGCTGGGCTTGAACTTGCATTCCTCCTGCCTCAGCCTCCCAGATTGCTGGAATTACAGGTGTACACCACCACAACTGGATCTTTATTGGCTTTTATTTTTAGGAAAAGATTTCTATTGTACCTTCCTTCACAGTCCTTTTGCTTGACAGGGCTGGCCTTGGGCAGAAACATGAGGAGTCCTACTTACTGCTTTCTGTACCTAAGTCTCCATTCCTGAACTCTGGGACCTGACTTTTCACTTGGCCTTTTTCAGATGTGGGAGATAGGTTTCTTTAACAAAGCAAAGGAAAATAACAAAGTGTCCTCATGTTTTGCCCCTTGCTCCGTGATTTTCCAGTTTGTAATGGGCCCAGGACTGCTGGCTGTTCCGTTTCTCCATCTCTATTCACCTAGATTCTCCTCACCTGTGTAAGTGCACAATGCAGGGAGAGCTCTCAAGACTTCTCTCTCCTGGTTCTTCATGCACACTGACTGCCTCCCCAAGTTTAGAGGGGATCTGTGTTCTGATTTCATGGTGTCTGACAAATAGTTTTAACTTAGCTTTATAGAAAAAGTACAAATAGAGAGTTTCTGTATATTACCTTGCCCAGTTTCCCCCAATGCCAACATCTTATACTATTGTGGTACATTTCTCTAAGAGTTGCTACATTACTAATAATTAAATTCCAGACTTTGTGTTTTACCAGTTTTTCCACTAATGTCCTTTTTTGTTTCAGGATTCATAGATGGAGTTTTCTCTACTTTTGTTCTTTAGTTCATTGTTGCTGGCTTCCTAGATGAGTGTTAAATAGGCTCATTCCAGCCCTGGGCAGCATTACCCTGCACCATAGCCACACACAGGCCTGCTGTTCAGAGCCACGTCTGAATGTCCCATGTGACAGAGACACCAACAGAATCACTGAAAATGATGGTTTTACACTTAATGGTTATCATAAAAACTCTAACAGCATTTTTATAAAATCTAATGCAGGGGCCGGGGATTTAGCTCAGTGGTTTCGCCACCTGCTGTGCAGGCGCAAGGACTGGAGTTCGATCCCCGATACCAAAAAAACCCCAAAAAACAAATAAAATCTAATGCAAATGTTTATACCTTTTAACTTCCATGCTTAGTTGTCCATTTCTCCAAAATATGAAGTCCTCTGCAGAAGTGATTCTAGACCTTCAGGGCTGTGGTGAACTTCCTGAAATAATGGTATGTTATGTTTCAGTGGCATGTGATCAGGTGATTGAAAACTGCTTTGAACAGGAATCACTCAGTATAAATAAGTAAACACATAAATTCTCCAGCTATCTACCAAGCACCTTTTATGTGCAAGGTGCAGATGGGGCTATCACAGGGTATGAGGAAGATACAACTCCTAGCTTCATAAATGAGTGGTCGGGAATTTGGCATTGGGGCCTGGACTTTCAGAGTTGAGCAGCCAGCTACATGGATCCAATCTGTGATCTTCATTTAGAGCCCAGTAAGGCTGAACTTCCTCCTTGGCCTTTTTCAGGGCAAGGAAGATATGTTTCTTTTTCTTTTCTTTTGGTACCAGGGATCGAACTCGGGTCCTTGCGCCTGCATAGCAGGCAACAAAACCACTGAGCTAAATCCCCGGCTCAGGAAGATATGTTTCTTTAACAAAAGGAAATGGCCAACAAATCAGAAACCCAGATACTAGGCTAACCCCTTCAAACTGAGAAATCCTCCTTATTTTTCTGGGAGTTCAGCCACTATCAATTTGATGGATACACGTACACCACCTTATGGTTTCGTGGTGGGTATGTTTGTCATCCAAAACAAGAAAACAAAGCAACTTTCTCTTCACTTGATACATCTTTTATATTTGTGAATTTAAAAAAAGACATTGAAGCCAGGGTGTGATGGTGCATGCCTGTAGTCCCAGCATTCAGGAAGCTGCAGCAGGAGGATTGCTGAGAGTTCAAGACCAGCCTGGGATACATAGTGAGTTCAAAGCCAGCCTGACTTGCATAGTAAGACCCTGTCTCAAAAACCAAACAACAAAAAGATTACACCTTTTCAGGTCATGTCACCAGGGATCTACCCCTCCAGCCAGACCCACCTCTGAACTTGAGACTGGTAGGGGACATTTCAGATCTAAACCCTAACACACACAACACCTAATCTTTTTGTTTTGGTACCGGGGATCGAACTCGGGACCTTGCACTTTCGAGTCTGGCGCCAGAACCACTGAGCTAAATCCCTGGGCCCAGAACACCTAATCTTTTAAAAGAACAACATGGAGATCTTTTGTGTTTCGTAAATGGTGATTGTGTGAGATGTGCCTCCCTCAGACTTCATCCCACATGTCTGTGCTTTACCCGTATGACATAAAATATGACACTGAAGAAGAAAGTTTGGGGATATATAAATAGCCTATTGTCTAAACGAGGAAATATAACCTTTCTACATCCTAGGTGTGTGATAAAAAGCATGTGGTACAAAAATAAGGACAGAAGCTATGCGTGGTAATTTTGGCAGGGCCTTCTTGCTCTAGACTCTGGTTCTGATTCCCTGGACAGTGCTCACCCTGGGAGGTGCCATTAGTGTATCATACTAGAACACTCATACCCTTGTAGATGTTTACAGATGATCTATTTCCAGCACTCCCTTCTTCTCTAGTCAGCATAAATACTCAAGAGTGGACTATGTTTAGAAGATGTTTGTTTGTTCTCAGTGATAATACGATGCCCCCTCTCTTAGGCAGATTTTGATTTAATAAAGAATTTTATTTTTCAAAGGAAACCACAAGTGAAAGCAAGCTTGAAGATCCCACAGTAGTTAGTTCTTTAATGCCAGGTAAGAACCTAGGGGGTAGCCCACAGGTTTGTATGTTTTTGTAAATATATTTGTAGGTAGGAATTCGAAAAGAAAAAATGTGTAATTGTCTAAAGAGTTCCTGGGGAGGAGAGGCATCAAAATGAAGAGGACAGTAGTGTGTATGAGAGAAAGCCAGGTTCCTGTGGGCTCTCCAGATTGAATCAAAGGTAATCAGTGTGTCTCAGATGCAAATCATGCAGCAGGCTTCTCTCCTGAGACACCCGCCCCACTGCCAACCCTGGTACCAGGGATCAAACTCAGAATCTTACACTTGTGAGGCAGGCGCAGCACCACTAAGTTAAATTCCCACCCTTTCTCCTGAGACTTTTAAGTGGGAGATTACAGGATACCTTAGAGTTCCTAAGAAGCACACATTCTATCTGGGCTCTGGGGTCAGGGAGGGTGCGTGGGTACATGCTCCCCTTTCTGATTTTATGGAAAAAGCTGGAGATCATGTATGGCCATGGAAGGCCCCAATCCATCCATGATGGACAGGCATGGTCAGGGGGCAAGAAGAGTAGGAGATTGGGGTTGAGAGAGAAGTGACTACGAATCCCACCTGTGCTCCCTTCTTTCCACAGAGGTGGCACAGGGGGAAGCCCCGTGGTTTCGAGAGGCGAAGAATCTAAGTGAGCACCTGAGAGCCACCTATACCAGTGCCCTTTTCCTTCACTTGCCATTGCTTGAGGGCCCTCCTGAACTCCCCACTGACCACCTGCTGGGGTGTGACCTGCCCCTTGTTGCCAAGCGCTTCAGCAGTCCTGTGCAGGAGCCCCTGACGTTGCCTGAGGTCTTGGCCAACTTGAACTCTGTCATGAGTGTGGAAGGCGAAGCTGGCAGTGGGAAGACGGTCCTCCTGAAAAAGATCGCCTTCCTGTGGGCTTCGGGGTGCTGTCCCCTGTTGAACAGGTTCCAGTTGGTCTTCTACCTGTCCCTCAGTTCCACCAGCCCAGACCAGGGGCTGGCCCAGATTATCTGTGACCAACTCCTAGCGAAAGAAGGAGCTGTGAGTGAAACGAGCCTAAGGAGCATCATCCAGCAGTTAGGGAACCAAGTCTTATTCCTGCTGGATGACTATAGAGCAAGGGGCTCAGCCCCCCAACTCATAGAAACACTGATCCAGAGAAGCCACTTGTCACGGACTTGCCGATTAATTGCTGTTCGTACAAACAGGGCCAGGGACATCCGCAGACACCTAGATACAGTTCTGGAGGTCAGGGCGTTTCCCTTTTACAACACCCTCTCTATATTATGGCGGCTCTTTCCACATGACCTGCCCCGGCTTCGGAAGCTCATGGTGCATTTTGGGAAGAACATGCACCTGCTGGGGATTCACAAAACGCCTCTCTTTGTGGAGGCAATCTGTGCTTATTGGTTTCGGTACCCATTCACTCAGTCTTTTGACCATATGGCTGTTTTCAAGGCCTACATGGAATGCCTTTTCATAAAGTACAAAACTCCAGACGAGCTTTTCAGAGCAACTGTGTCCTCCTGTGGGGAGCTGGCCCTGAAAGGGTTTTTTTCATCTCATTTCGAGTTTAGTGCTGACGACCTTGAAGAAGCAGGGGTTGATGAAGATGAGGATCTCACCATGTGCTTGATGAGCAGGTTCACAGCCCAGAGACTAAGACCAGTCTATAAGTTTTTAAATCCTGCATTTCAGGAATTTCTTGCTGCAAAGAGGCTGAGTGAACTGCTGGATTCAGACACGCAGGAAGATCAAGATTTGGGACTTTATTATTTGAAACAAATTAACTCACCCATGCTGGCCGTAAGCTCCTATTATAATTTTTTAAAATATGTCTGCAGCTACTCTTCAACAAAGGTGGGGCCAAATATAGTATCTCATTTGCTTCATTTGGCAGATAGTAAAGAGTCATTGGAATATCTGCCCAGAAATGGTGACTCCTTAAAGCATGAAGAGGAAATGCCACTGGATACACAGGCGATCAGGCTACTGTGGCAGCTGTGTCCAGAACAGTGTTTTTTGCTGTTGTCAGAATTTTTACTGGATTTTGCCCTAATGATTGCATATGAAAGCAGTACTGTTGCTACATGTGCTCCATTTATTTCCCATTTCCTTCAAGGGAGATCCCTGCCATTGAAGGTACTTAACTCACAGTACTTCTTTGACTACCCTGAAAGCCTCCTAGTGCTGCGGAGTATCACGATCTCCATAAAAGGCAGTAAGCTGAGATGCATATCAGATAATAAAATCCTGGAAAGATGTTTTGACAGATCCCAGGCACCAACAGTAGATCAGGACTATGCTTCTGCCTTTGAAACTCTCAACGAATGGGCACAGGATTTAGCAGAGAAAGAGAAGACCATTAGCAGTTACCTAAATCTAAAGGTCTGGCACCCACCAGACATCAGTGGGGGCTACTGGAAGCTCTCTCCAAAGCCACACAAGCTTCCCCTACTGCAAGTCCACATTGTTGATGAGAGCACAGCAAGCCCCGAGGTGCTCGCAGTGCTGACCGAGGTCTTCTCTGCCTCCCAGCACATTGAGCTCCTTCTGGAGGGCAGCAGTGGCTTCATGGAAAACATTCGCCCCGCACTGGAGCTGAACAAGGCCGCTGTCACCAAGTGCATCCTGCATGGTGTCCAGCTCAGCGCAGCCGAACAGGAGCTGCTGCTCGCCCTGCCGGCCCTGCAGTCTCTGGATATCTCAGGCTCGGTCCAGTTACAAGGTAGCCTGACTGTACTTTGGAGCACTATTTTGATGTGACATTTTATTTTCTCTTAGCTTTGAGTGACATATGCTTCTAAAGCCATAAGCCCATAAAGGGTGCTTATTAGAAGAGATATAAAATAAACTTTCACTCATTTGGGGGGCTATTAGTATAAATGAATGAAAGGCCCCTGAATAATAGAATGGTTTTCAAATAACTCATATTATTTGAATCTGAGCATCTCCTGGTTAATAAAATTAACAAAAGGTGAATATCAATATTTAATTAAGGCCCCTTAGTAAGCAGACATGTGTTACTTGTTCTTAGTAAATAGTGATTTGTAGATGATACTTGAAAATTTCTTCTGTCCCACTCGCCTAATGGGCTTGGCTTTGGGAGATAATGTTCTGAACGATGTAGAGTATCGTTTCATGTGCTCATAATAACTATACATGTTTTTCTTTGAGAAATGTCTGTTCAAACTCCTTGCTCATTTTTAAGTTGTTTTTTACCATTGTCAGTTATGTAGTTGTTTGTATATTCTGGATGTTAAACCCTTAGCACACTTGTGTTTGAAAAATGTTCTCTCGTTCTGTCACCTCTCTCTCTCCCTCTTTCCTCATTTCATTCATTTTTCCCTCCCTCCCTCCCTTTTTCTTCCTTTGTTTTTTTATACTGGGGTCACTCTATAGTATCCTCTGAGGCACAAAAATTTTTTATTTTGATGCAGTCTAATTTTTAATTTTTTTCTTTGCTAGTGCTTTTGATGTCATATGCAAGGTCATGAAGATTTGCCCCTGTTTTCTTCTAAGAGTTGCCTGGTTTTAGCTCTTATCTTTCAATCATTGGCATATTTAAATTAGTTTGATATGAGTTAAGATAGGAAGAAGTCCAGCTTGCTTCTTTTGCCTGTGCAAACCCAGTTGTCCCCAGACCTTTGGTGGAGGAGATGTCTTACTTATGTCTGTGAGTGCAGAGAGTACCACAGGCTTCCCAGATGGTACATGATTGCTAAGTGCAATTCTTTGCAGATGTCCTTGTTAAACTGAATGTATTATGGTATCTGGTGGTCTTCATTTGACAATGTGGAAGTAGCTCATGGGTCAAAATGATGGTTTCAGATTTTCCATTTGGAAATTGTTATATTAGATTAATAATGGGAAACTATGCTGCTCTGCAGACCAAATCTTCCCTAACCTGGACAAGCTCCCATGCCTGAGAGAACTGTTTGTGAATCTGGACAGCAGACTAGATGTTTTCTCTCTCCTTCCTGAGGAATTCGCAAACCTCCACCACATGGAGAAATTGCTGATCCAAATTTCGGCTGGGTGTGATGCTTCCAAACTAGGTAAGGATGACACTTGGATTTATTTGTTTTTGCATCAGTTGGAAAAGCTACATGGCCAGTAATATTTTTTTTTTTTGAGACAGTGTCTCTCTATATAGTGAAGACTGACCTTGAACTATGTAGCCCAGGATGGCCTCCAAATCGCAGCAGTCTTCCTGGTTCAGCCTTACGAGTGTTGAGATTACAGGCATGTGCCACCATGCCTGGTCCAATAATTTATTTAGAAATTAAAACTTCTTCAGCTGGGCATGGTGGTGCATGCCTATGATCCAAGTACTAGAGAGAGGCTGAGGCAGAATTGCCATGAGTTTGAGGCCAGCCTGGACTACATAGTAAATTCAAGCCCAGCCTAAATTAGACAGCAATATCCTTCTCAAAAAAACAAAACAAAAAAGGTAAAACTTGTGTGGGTCTGAGGGTTTAGTCTGTGCCATGGTAAACTGTGGGAACAGCACTCTCTCTCCCTAAGAAAGCAGAGAGCTAGTTGTAAATATTGAGCCTTTACTATCTGCTAGGAACTGTTCTAAGCACATCCCAAATACTTACTCTTCACACCTTCCCTGAGAGGTCAGGCATTGTTGCCACTTTACAGCAGTGGAACTGAAACAAAGAGGCTAAGCACTTTATTCAGTTTACCCAGCTAAGGAAATGTTGTTAAAATACAGAAATTCTAACTCCCAAGTCTGAGCTTTTAACCTCTGGTATATACACAGAAAGTCTGCTTTGGGTTACACCGCTCTCCTCTCGCATCTTACAGGCCTGGAGCCTGGGTGGCGGAGGAAGCCAGCTGGCAGTGTGGAGTGCTGCCATTTCTAACCACCCCGGCCTTGCAGTCACAGGCAACTGTGCGGCCTGGTTCCAAAGCCCCTCATTTAGCAAAATGGCTTAGGCACCATCAGCACCTCACTTTAAGAAAACACCGAATACGAAGCTCTGTGGAACAGACATGCAAAACATTCACTGACATTGAAGCTGGCAGTGGTAGTTTTCTTGTATTTGTCAGTATTTTTACATCGAGTGAGTGTAGGATCCTCGTATTTTTTGTGTGTGGTGTTCATATTGTGTAAACACAGTTTAAAGACAGAGACATTAGGAGGTGACAGCTGAAGGTGGCCCTACTGAACCCTTATAGGTGGGAGAACTGATCCCCAAGAGGGTCAGTTACTCAGCACGTTGCCTACCAGTCAGTGCAGAACCTGACGAGAACCCAGGCAGCACCAGTCTTCGGTCCCTGCGCCTCACGCCTTGTTTGAAGTCAGTATTGTTGGAACAGAAGTCATAAAGCACTAGGCCAATTTTGATAGAAATTTGCAGTCTTCTCTAATTTCTGATAAATATTTGATATTTTACAGTCAAATCGATTCAGAATTCTCCAAACCTTCGTATTTTCCATTTGAAATGCTATTCCTTTTCGGATTTTGAGTCTCTCGTGACTACATTGGCTTCCTGCAAGAAACTTGAAGAAATAAAATTTTCTGGACCCTTTTTTAAAGCCACTCCATTTGGTAAGAATTATAATTTAAAATTTTGGCTGAAGATGCCTCTGTGAACAAAGTCACAGTGAGCACAATAAAAAGAGACAATCTTTTTTTTTTTTAAACAGACTTACTATATAGTTCAGGCTGGCCTTGACTCACTGTGTAGCTCAGCCTGGCCTTGAACTTGCAGTGATCCTCCTGCCTCAGCCTCCTGAGAGCTGGGATTACAGATGTGTGCCACCACGCCCAGCTGTTTCTACAATTTAAACATTTCTAGCTTTAAAAATTTCTGAGTAAAGATTTGTATTCTCTACTTAGTCAAGCTAATTCAGTATGAATTAGTATATTGTGGGGTTTTTTTGGTTTTTTGAGACAGGGCCTCACTGTGTAGTTTAGGCTGTCCTTGAACTCATTATGTAGCCCAGACTGGCCTTGAACTTGAGGTGAGATACTCCTGCCTCAGCCTCCTGAATGCTGGGATTATCCTGAGTGTTGGGATTACAGCCATGTGCCACGATGCACGGCCTTAGTACTATATATTAATTTTGATCACTTTAAAAATACTCTTTTATTTTAAAAATATTACTTATAGGGGCCAGGGATTTAGCTCAGTGGTTCCGGTGCCTGCCTCAAAAACGCAAGGTCCCGAGTTCGATCCCCGGTACCAA